GATATGGTAGGTGCAGGTTTCCTTATCCTCATCCTACATGTCCAGCTGCTCCAAAACTTTCTGAAGGATCATACTTACAATTAACTTTTTGCTGCCAATATCCTTTAGAGTCTATTTCCATTCCACGTACCATACAACTGAAAAGTCTTTCACCTCTAAGCAGACCATGATACAAGGGTCTTTTGCCTTCTGCTTACTGTACGCAGATAACCACTTTCACATGTTCATCCAAGCTACTACCCTCAGAATACATGCCCAAGCATACGTGCAACTCTTGATCTCTTTTAAGTGTCTTCCCTTAATGTCTTTTTAATCTTAGTGTCCTTGGAACCACTGAAAACAGCCAGGTTACTGCTTCATAAGTTCCTTAAATGCTACCTCTGTTGTAAATACTGTCCACATTTATAAAGCTGTAAGTATGTGCATGTTCCTAAGTCAAGCCAAATCTGTATGATGATTTGTTACTCCACGAGTCCAGTATTAATGACTGTACAGCAGTAGTGATAGGTATATAAGTAATAATATAAGTTAATATTAAACTATTAATAAAAAAGTATGCTAAACAGCTAGTATTAAATGAATCATGCCACAGAAAAGGTCCCTTTTGCCCATAATCCTTCATCTGACAGTGGTCTTCTACCCATGTTTGGGGAAGAATGAATGCAGGATAAACACACATATAACAGCAGTTTGGTTTCTAATCCATTTCAGCATAAAGATCCTGAATCAGATAATGGTTTCGGTATTTCTAGTAACTATCAATGATCTCTCCTCTGTATGTGGCCAGTGTCCCCTAGAATGTAAAGAAGAATGAAGTTTTAGTATCTTCAGCCTTCTTTGTAATGAGTTCCTTGGGTCTGCCAGCTGCCAGCATGGAGACTTGCCTCTTGCATTTAGATGGAAAGTTTCTTCCAGCTTCATACAATGCCCTGCAGGTCTTCCAGTGGAAGAGACAAGGAACAGCCACCCTGACCACTTTTCTATGCCACATGCATTTTTGAAGATTTCTGTAATTTCCTCCTTTAGACTCTTTTGAACCAGATTACAGGCATTTCTGACACCTAAAGACAGCCAGCTCAGTAGTTCTCCACCCAAAAGCTGTTCAAAGGACTTGTTGCCCCTTCTCTGACATTTTCCAGCTCTGCCAAATTGTTTTGACCAGAACTGCACAGAGTACCCAGGATGACAGCAAACCACAGCTTTATGCAATAGCATACTGAGGTTCTATGGCTGCCTTTCTATTCACTTCCTAATAATTTCTAGTATTTAACTTGCTTTCTGACCACTGGACAATAAGCTAATGCTTTCATGGAACTACTATTAATATCCCCAAGATTATGCTCAACAGGGATAATAGTTAGCTTGGTCTTAAAAAAAGGAAAATATTGTTCTTACAGATTAAAAGTCCCACAAAAGCCTCAGGAATGTGTCTTAAATGACACTGTTATGCAAAGAAACTGATTTATTATTATTACTACAATTCTAAGAGAGTGTTGAATTTAAAATGGAGTGAAAAGCCTTAAATCTTGTTATGGAGGACAAATCCAGGAAGACCAGCCACTGTTTTAATCTGTTTCCTATGCTTTTGTGCTTGAACAGGAATGTCTGCTCCAGTGGCATATGCATTATTTCAGGGAAAGCATGAGCAGGGCTTCACAGTTCTCACTGAAGCTGATTTCTGCACTATGTTTGCACACAGTCTGAAGTTAATTTTCTGGGAATGCAGAATCACTGTTTTACATTTAGCATGGTTTAGCTTCACTAAGTTTCCTTAAATAAAACACAGTTTTGTAAAGATATAAACCACCACGTTAAAATAGCCATATTAACTTATTCCAAGAGTAAACTACCTGCAACAACATTCTGACATGACAACATTTTTTACCCGCTCCACAGTCAGCACAGTTAGAAGGAGTTTTGTCAGAAGCCCTCAAAGGACAATTTAACTATAATGTACTCTTCCAAACATCACCCATGTTATTCTTATGTCTGTCTTTGTTTTCCACTCTCTCCGAAGTCTCCTCAAAGGAGTGGAATGATCCTTCTCTAAAAGAGACCTCTTACTGCTTTGAGAGAGATCTTGGTAAAACCCCAAACCTGCCGAACACTTAAATGCACATAAGCAGAACAGTACTTTCAAAGTCAATTAGCTCGAAATTATAAATACTTTCGAGTTCTCTTTCAGATTAGGACCCCAAAGGCAATTTAGAGCCTTGGCTCCTACAACTCACTCCATTTTTTGCTCCAAACCACTTTAACTCAGCCACACAACAACAGCAACAGTTTTGAAATGTTATTTGCTCAGGATCAGAGCCCTTCTGCTCTATTTTTCTAAGGTGAAGGTGGCAAATGATGATTCATAAAGGTAAGACCTTTCATACAGACTCTTCCCTACCTCTTTCATGCATGGATATGTGTGTATATACATATATTTAACTGAGAATTTTTTAGATCTGCTCAACTGTGAACCAAAACAGAGCTGAAGCAGCATAAAAGGGTAACACAAAAATAAAATAGAGTATCCTTCTACCAGTAAGAAACGGCTTTTCTTGGGTTGTTCATACAGCTTTTGGCAGTAGACAGGCTCCAACAGACCCAGAGCCAATGAAGTAACCATTGCCCAGATTTGCTCTGCAGAGCAAACTCTCTCCACTGACTACACAAGCACAGGCTCTCTGTCAGCTACATGGGAGAAACTGCAATGACTGCTCTTCTGCACCACCTAAGTCAGGTCTTACCACCCTGCTTTCCTATTTTGGTAATTCTTGACGTTCAAGCTGCTCTCTGAAATCCACTTCCTAAAATACTGACAATGACAAGACTTACACAGTGTTCTTTAATTGTATCCCATTCTTGCATTGTGAATAGTCTGAACGCATTTCATGGGACTATTTGTTATGAAGGCAATTGGAATAAATCTAAAACGTTGCCCAATCTGTTAAGATAACTTTGAGTACTCCAAAGGAGTTCAGATGAAGAGAAAGTCCTAGAAATCCATATACATTGGCTCTCCAAACAAACTAGATGAAGGTAACTGGTAAGATTTTTAATATTTGAAAACAGAATCAATATTTTCAAAAGTTTTTTTGCTTTTGGGGTTTTTTTTGAGAATAAGTCAAAGTTATGCAAGTCTTCCATATGAAAAATTCCACAGAGACAAAGAATAAGGAACACCAGATATAGTCTTTGACACAGAGGAAACAACCTGAAATGTTCTCAGACAAAATAGAATCCAAGAGATAAAGATGCAGAGAAATGTTCCTTCAGTACCTTAGATGACTAGTAATGGTGACCACTTTCAAGCATGCAATTCAGGTTAAACAATATACTGCAGTCACCAGATGGATCACCTACAAAAGGAAAGTAGGGTCAATCTGTAAACTCTCTCTGAGTGGTGTCACCGGCATATTTATCATTGACAACTCAAACCGTGATGACAAGATAAGAAGTGGATGACAAGGATTGCAATATTTTTGTCTGGAAATAAGACTTAGATTACAATAAAATAGTTTTCCATAAGATTTATGGGTGCTGGTCGATGAGAAAATGAACATGAGCTGACAGTATGGGCTTGCAGCCCAGAAAGCCAACTGTATTCTGGGCTGCATCAAAAGGAGCATGACCAGCAGGTCGAAGGACGTGATCATGCCCTTCTAACTCTGCTCTCCTGAGACCTCACCTGGATTATTGTGTGCAGTTCTGGTGTCCTCAACATAAAAAGGACATGGAACTGTTGGAACAAGTCCAGAGGAGGCCACAAGGATGATCAGGGGACTGGAGCACCTCCCATATGAAGATAGGCTGAGAAAGTTGGGGCTGTTCAGCCTGGAGAAGAGAAGGCTTCGTGGAGACCTCATAGCAGCCTTCCAGTGTGTCTGAAGGGGAGCTATAGGGATGCTGGGGAGGGACTCTTCATTAGGGACTGTAGTGACAGGACAAGGGGTAACAGGTTAAAATTTAAACAGGGGAAGTTTAGATTAGATATAAGGAGGAAATTTTTTCCTGTTAGGGTGGTGAGGCACTGGAATGGGTCACCCAGGGAGGTTGTGAATGGTCCATCCCTGGCAGTGTTCAAGGCCAGGGTGGACGAAGCCTTGGGTGATATGGTTTAGAGCAAGGTGTCCCTGCCCATGGCAGGGGGGTTGGAACTTAATGATCTTAAGGTCCTTTCCAATCCTAACTATTCTATGATTCTATGAAAATTAAATTTTTTTAGGTTGCTGGATTAGGGGAAATAATATTCTAAAATACTTGTCCATGCTGGGAAGCCTACCTTTGCTATTTCTGGCTGACAGCTCCCATGAAAGATAAAGCCTGAACAGGAACCTCCCCTTGCATTTCTGTGGATCAAAATTGTTTTCTCTGGAATGTAGGCTGGCTGCACCATTAGGGTGTAAGGCTTTGTGGAAAAATACGACTGAAGATAACACTACACACAGTCTCCAAACCGAAAAGCAGACAAACCATTAAGGACATATAATAGCAAAAAAGTCAGATGGAACCTTCCCAAATTTATGCGTTAGAAGCACAGCAGAAATTTATATGATGTGCCAATTAATGTCCCATAAAACATTACACTATATTCTCAGAACATGGAATTCAGTAAAAAATAAATGATGTGGAAGGTCACTGTACTAATCAGAACACTCTGTATGTGGTAACTGGTATAAATGTGATGAAATTAAATTTGCCCTGGAACAATTCTCAAAGTCCCAATGTTTATTTTACTTGTTTTAGAAAATAAGCCTCTTACTTCCATCGTTAAAAATCCCAGACCTCTATGTGATACATTTGGTTTTGCTTTTCTAAGAATCAGTAACATGTTTCCTTTCTAAAAGCTCCTTATGTGATAATGAATAAAACACAGCATCCCTTTTAATAGTGAAACAAGTAATTGTTTATGCAACTAAAATTCTCTAAGTATCCAATTCCTTCAAGATATCTGTAAGAAAAAGCACATAGTTACAGAAGCTGTGGTGGCCATCTAGCTGTTTACTCACCCATTTCCTGCCTGGTACTGCAGACTCCTGTCCCATATTTTTGTAACTCTATGGTCACAGTTTTCAAAGCATTAACATCCGTTTCTGCAAAGCCGAGGTAGTTATAAGAACCCATATTGATTACATTCTTGATAATCCTTCCTGTAAACCTATAATCAAAGCACATTTTAAAGAACAGTGCAACTTTCCCTCCAACTCCCCCAAAAAAGAAAAGAAAAAAAACCCCACAGATTTGCCCACTGAATTCTGTTCATTGTCAAATTCCTATTTGGGAATTTATAATCCTCCTACTTTAACATCCCAAAAGTTTTTTCCAACATTTCCCTATGCCTGACTAAATAATGCTCCTTGCTCAGAATGTTTTCTAGGTTCTAAGCTGTAGATGGCAATTTGTTGGCACTGGGTGAAAGGGGGCTTTTATGGACCTGAATAAAAAATCAAATCTAAAACTTTATTTAAGGAATAACTTATAAGACACATTTTTTTCAAACAAACTGTCAACAGCTTTTACAGAGTTATCAGTGTTCACACACACGAAGAAAATGTGGCAAACACCGTGACGCATTCTCAGTAAGCTGAAATATACTCAACCTGCACATTGTCTATGTGGTGAGTTTCCATATCTATTTAATTCAGCAATAGTTGGGATACACTGGAAACTTCAAGCTGTAAAATGCTTAAAACTCATTGCCAAAGACTCACTATGGAAATAAGAAGCAACATATACACATTGCAAGAAACTATTATTTACATTATAACGAAGTTACAGGACAAGGGGTGACGGGTTCAAACTGAAAGAGGGGAGATTTAGGTTTGTTATGAGGAAGAAATACTTTACTGTGACAGTAGTGAGGTGCTGGCACAGGGTGCCCAGAGAAGCTGTGGCTGCCCCATCCCTGTCAGTGTTCAAGGCCAGGTTGGACAGGGCTTTGAGCAACCTGCTCTAGTGGAAGGTGTCCCTGCCTGTGGCAGGGGGGTTGGAACTAGGTGATTTTAAGGTCCTTTCCAACCCATTCTGTGATTCTATGATTCTATGATAAAACAAATTCTGTTGTAGTATTCTGACTAAAGGCCTGTTGCTATTGAGGAAACATGAGCAGTCTTACTTGTGCCAATACAGCCAAATAAAACCCATTTGCAATAGATTTCAGTTCCTTCCATATTGCATTTCCAAATAACATTCAATGGAAAGCAGACAGACTGTCAGCACAGTAATGATTTCAGGAAAAAATATGCTGATGTGTATTAGTGGAGGATTCAGGTATGAGGGGCTTGGATGCAACATTCTGTGCTTTGCAGATGAAACAGGAGAATTCTTATGAGGCTGACAGCTGCAGTATAAGCTGACTCACCTAAACGTCCAGTTGTAATCATCTGTAACACGTTCCATGAGGTCAAACTGTGGCCCTGGGACACTGCAAATTGGACGATTCCAGTTATCCCGTATTCTCATATAGAGGTTTCTGGTGTAAAAGTTCTCAAAATCTTGATAAAGTGGCACAAAATCCTGGTTTGAAAACATGCACAGGGTTATGTTGCTGGGAAAACGTCTGCTGCTGTACCCAAGTCATTCCCATTAAAAAGGAAAAACAGATTCATTAGTGAACAGAGCTCTGTAACAGCCACATGTTCCTATGTCACAAACAACTCCCAGCAACTATCTTACTTTAATTCCTTGAAATACAGTGTTGTTGTTTTTTTTTCAGGTGGTAGGTTTTTTTGGTTCTTTTGTTGCTGGTTTTGTTTCCTTTTTTAATTGTCAACAGGTTGGCCTAATTCTCCAGTCCAGCGCTTGGAAAAGCTGGAAACGGAAGAACTCACGATTCTTTCACTGGGAGAAACCAAATGCTTCCTTCGCTATGTGTAGAGCAGATTGCAAAACTAAGATAAACAACTCATTATATGTCATGAAATGCTGGCTACATTAGGTTAAAACCAGTCCAATGTAATTTATCTGGGCATTATTGGCCTAGACTGCACATTCATACAGCCAGTTAAGACAACTGATTTGGTTGACAATTTCTATCCATGGATTTTACTTAGAAATTAAATTGAAAGAAAGGTATGGAATCTAAACAAAGATTTATATGAAACAGCAATATAGGCATATCAGACACTGGGTACAATAAACTGACAAAATAACATGGTATGTAGTTACATCTGTGGAAGATTGGAGAATTAAATGAACATGTAATCCATAGTGGATGGCAAAAAGATTTAACTGGTATGTCTGGAATCAAAATAGCTCAACAAATGAACAAATTATGAAGTGAAAAGGATATTCCATGAGAATGCTGACAAAAGACTGCACCATGATATTTCATCAAGTCACACATGCATCTTCGGAAAGCCGAAACAGGAAATAGTTTTGGGAATTTTATTTGTAAGAGGAACAGTAAGACTATTTGCATTTTTCCTCCATTATGTCAAGCATTACTGTAAATGATGGCTCAACCTGCACAGATAAGGAGGAGCAATAAGAGATCTAAAAGTTAAAACCACAACTGAGCCTGCTGAGGTGTAAGTTTCACTTGAACTATGTGGGATAAAATAAATCTCTAAGTCAGGACTTGCAAGAATTCAGGCTACATTCACTCTGTAGCTGGGAGAGTGATTGCTGAGTGCTCTGTCATCAGCAGCTCAACAGACAGAAGTCAGCAATTACAGATGTTAGCGCTGCCTATTGCTATGAAGGACAAGGACAGCCATATGGGGCAAAGAACAGTTGGGGTTTAAGCGGTTAGGAGAGAAGATATATTTAACAATGAGGTATTTCTGAGTTTTCTTTTTCTGTGGATTGACCTAATACACTGAGATTCTATTTTGTTGAGAGTGTTCTGACGCTCTTTGAACATCTCTCCGTGTGAAAATTAGGATTTTACATTCATATAAGGACATATTCATACAGGTGTTTATTCTGCAGTGTGTGTCATTCCTCATTGCTATGCAGTGATCTTCTGTAAGATGAAAGTTGTTTGCCTTGTTAATTCAGTAGGTTATTGCACCTAACTTGCAAGGAAGGGAAAACTCAGCTGTGGATACATAATGTCTTTTCCATACATACTTTTTGTTGTTCTCTTTCTGCAGCAATGTGACGTTTTTCTAGTCCCCAGGCTCTCATAAAATCTCGCAGGTAGCCAAATATTGTTCCCACTCCAAAACCCAGGAAAGTAAGAACAGCAACATACATTGGTGCCTGTTCAAAGTGCTCAATAAAGGTTTTTTTGTAGAGAGTTCCATTTGATACACCATTCTTCTGGAAATACAGAACAGAAACTTGTGATTAATACAGTGCATCTCACCAAAGCTTAGACCTTAGACCTCAAGGCAAATGATTTTCTCTAATACAATGCAAATTAGAAGAGACATTTAGACCTCACACTGTATCAGCTGATGCAACCTAAACCTCAATAAGAGGTTTTTTACCTCCTGCAGTTGTTACTGACCACTACAAGTGTTTTCCATTTTCTCTCCTCTCCACCAATGCCCTCAATTGCAGGTGTCTTCAACACCACTCCCTTGTCTATTTTGAAACATGTGAAACTTATTAAATATTGGCAACATATTATTGTGTAATTGGACAATTATTTCAAAGGTGATTAAATGGAAACCACAGTACTCTGGTCTTGCAAGTCAGAGCTATAAAAAGGGAAGGGCAGCATTAAAAACTCACCTACACTGCATCTGACTCTGCTTCTGGAAGTCTTGTGAAACACATTGCAGCAACTAACCTATATACAACAAATCCTGTCTAAAATAGGGCACCTTTTCCATGACGGTCTTCAGATCTGAAGAAGTATCCAAACCAGCCATGATCCCAGCCTTCTATTGCAGTTCTGACTTCAAAAATGCTTTTAATCATCATTTTGGTGACCTCTCCCACACTTCTAAGGGTACTTAAAAGAAAAGGGGGAGGGAGGATGAGGGGAGAGACACAGCTAACCTGCTTCTTGGCTGGCGACCTATTGTGACTAACTTCTAGAAATATAAAACCATATGTAGACAAAATAATGTGTATTGAAAACATTCCACAATTTTCATGTGTGTGTTGAAGAATCAAAGTTTTTCAGTTGCAATCTTCTCAAACCAACTTCTATTCAGTAGGCTTATCAGGTTACTCTTTGGAAGAGAGCTAACTCCCTTATTTCTGCAAAGCACAATGGCTTTTAGTTACAGTCAGTAACAGTTACTGTTAGTAACAGCCAGCCTGTCAATTCAAAATAACAAAATGTAATTCAGAAACAATAGTGACCTCTATTAAAAAACCTAGAAAAAACAAAAAAATCCCATACATTTTTAAGCATATTATAAAGCAAAACTACCAACACATAACCTTAACCCTTAACATATTGCTGTCTGTGGGACCAAACTAAAAAAAAGGTGGCTGATGTATTTATAGAATGCAATTATTTTAGCAAGCTAACATAGAATACTTGTATTAAGAACAACTGCGAATTCACTTTACTTGTCAGAACTAGAGTATTATTGATCTTCATAACTACATTAAAATGCCTTTATCCTTCAAATGACTTTGATTTCAGTAGTAATTTCCTGTCCAACCCCAGAGTCACAGTTTTCTTGGGAAAGAGTGAGAAAAAGGAAAGGAAAAAAAAAAAGAAAAGAAAAAGGTGTCGTGCGCAAGATGAAATGTAAAGATTTTGAAGGAAACCCAAGGAGGAAAAAATTGCTAGTAGAGTTGAATAGAAATATTTAGACTTTGGAAAGACTTTTTGCTCTGTGAAGGAGAAGGAATGCAGGGCCATCTCTCACCATGTGAGGGTGGACATTTGAAACAATGCTACGCACACACTCACACCTCAGGCTAATCACTCTTTTAGGGCAACCTATTTACCATGAAAAACATTTTATGAGGATGAGTTAAATACATGGCCAAGTCGTATTTCATATGAGTCACAACAGCTGTGTGCACACAGCATCAAGATAAAGTAAATATTTCATTAAGGATTAAGCTCAGCCATTTTACCTTACATTTGTCATGAGCTAAGAGCATACTTACGATTATCTGTGGCTATTCAATTGACATCACAGCTTGTCAAGCTGTGCTGATGTGATAATGCACCTGAGCCCAGAGGAATTACCACGATAATTTTGTTTATCAGTTTCATTAAGAAACAATTTATTGTTATATATCTTATTTGTAATGGAACAAGGAAGCTCATATTAAACTCCTACATTGCAAAACTCTTCTTCCACTATAAAACTCTTCTCTTGTGGAGCTCTCATTTCAGCTGCTGCTATTTTATGCAGTCAGTATGACATATGCGGTTAAACATGTAACCACAGTCATCTACAAGTAGCTAGTAGCAAATGGCATCAATAGTAAGAATATGGAGTCAGGCTGTAACCCATGTTCTCCAGTCTGTGGATAGTGAAACCAAAAGTCTTCAAACAGCCCAGGCTGGGAGAACAAATTCGATACAGGGACATCTTGTCTAAAAACTGAAGTGAGGGAAACAAAGAGCATTTCATTCATCCCTAAAGTCCCACCAAAAAAAGCAGAGGAAAAGTCTTGGGATTGGAATAACCAAAACATGTGGTTTAACAAGCTGCTTCTAGAGAGCGGTAACGTGGATGTTTTAGTGCAGCACTTCAAATCCAAGCACTGGGGTATGGGTGACTGACTGAACATCATGAGGAATTTCAACAGTTTCAGCCAAACTGAGTAGTCAGTGCATGAATGGTTAACTGCCATTTTACATTGCATTACTGTTGACTTTGCACATGTTAACATAAAACTTTATGTGAGAAGAAAGAGGTGAAATTGGAGACTGCGCATTTAAGGCACTTAGGCAGTGAAGACAGATGTAATTAAACGGTTGCTGGCATCAAAATCAAATACAGCAGATCCCATATATATGCCTGAAATGATTCAGAGATCACTAGTTACACAATGTGTGCACTGCTGAATTGTACACTCGCTAGTATATTATTACCTGTAATAACACCTGTAGTAGACAGTACATTTTCCAGCTCCATACCTCAACTGTAGCAATCCTAAACATTAAATGATTAGGCAAAGATTCTAAAAACCTAACCAGAGAATTATACTTTCCCCAGTGTATTCTCCCAACTTTCAGCAATTGGTGACTTTGAGATTTCAAAAGCATGAGATTGTGTTATCACAATTAAGAGTCATCAGGGAATGCCTATGAATTTGCTCATAATTTTTGAACCCACAACTACTGTGGATATAAATTGTGGATTCAACAGTTGATTTAATCTGTAAAAATGAATTTCCTCTTTTTTGTTATTGTAAAATTAACTGATAATTCCATTTGCCCATTTATTTTGACCACAGTTGTCTGTTCAGCTTTCCTACTCAATCAATCACATGACTCAGTTTTTTGTACTTAAATGGCTTCTGCCTCTCCACTTGTTTCTTCCCAAGCTGAAGAAACTTCATCTATTTAGTTCTGTTCTAGTTTAGCATCCTGGTCCTTACATAGATTAAACAAAAATAAATCTATATTTTAATGCTCAATGCTTTTCACTCTGCAAAGTTCAATAATACCTTTCTGAAATGCAGAGGAAGGAAATTAACATTGCATGCACACCTGAGGGCACAGTATGGATTTGCACATCTGCAAATGCTTTGCCTTGTTTTCTGTTGCTTTTTTAAAAGCTTGTTAACATTCTATTTGCCTTCTTGCCACGGTTCACAGTTTCAGAAATCTCTCTTATGATTAGAATATATCCTTCCTTTGTTGGAATAAATACCTAATTTAGCTCGCACTGTTTATGCGATCTCAGGATCATTTCTTCCTCCAATTCATGAATTGTTATCTAGTGACCTACTTGTTTTTCCACTGTTTTATCACACCACGCACTAACAGTGAGAAATTTCTGCAGTGTTTGCTGTCCAGAGTTAATTTTTCACTCCCTGAAGAATTTGGTAGTGTCCACACATGCTGTCATCTATTTATTCTCATCCCTTTTTCCAGACCATTGGTGGAAATGTGAGAGGACACAGGTCCAATGAGAGATCCCTCCAGGACTTCATTCCCGGCCTGTCCCTGGTCACCTCATTAGAAAAAGTCTTATATTTGTAACCCTAATTCACCATTTCTCTGGCAAAAAAGGCTTTCAACTTGAGCGGTGACCCAGAGTTACTCAGCACTTTTATGTTTGGTTTCCTTTAAAAGTCTTGAGTAAACAACCTTTGTGATACGTGATCCTCTTTTATTGGCTTGTTTTAAAAATTCTACTGGCATTCCAAACCAAAATAATTTCCCAGCAGTCTGCCACAGAGTAAGTACACTTTCCAGGCACAAATGCAAGGAATCTGCTAATGCAATGTAAAGACACCCAGTACAGAATGGCTGTAGCTGAAATTCAAAAGAAATGGATGCTTTGCATACAGTTTGACCAATCTGGAATTTCATTGACGTCTTGGAAGCCAAAAGCACAATTAGGATACGCAACTTCTGTGTGTTGAGTCTGCTTAGCTTATTAGATGATGCTGTCTTGTACTCTCCTGATATCAAAGGCCACACTGGCAGCTCAGCTTTGGAACTCTGTAGCACATAGTTACAGAAAACCCATGTCAACAGAAAACCCATGTCAACAGATTCAGCAGTGGCCTTAAACCACAGCTGCAAACTGATTTCCAGTAAGACACAGCAAGAGATTTCCTGGACAAGATTTTGATGCCAAGGAAGTCAACAGAAGTGATGCCAATACAGTAAAGTCAGTTTGAAGTGCAACACTTCTTAGATCCCCATATTCCATAGTCACCCAAAGTATTTTGAAACTTTTCCCTAACGAAGAAATGGAGAAATTAACACTAACAACAACTCTAACACTGTTATTAGAATGGGCATCAGTATAAAATACTGAATATATTGGTCACACGATCTTAATCAAAATAGCTTGCTCTAATAATAATGTAAACTAATCTTGATATCTGTTAAGCACACTCCTGGTAACACCTTTAAAGAGAATAGTTATAAAACATGATATTTGCACTACAAAGTAAAATAAAAGATAGCTATGCAATATCATGAGCAATACTTCAATATTTGTTCATGCCACCCTTAAAGATAGGAGAGAATTTTTCATTGCATTTAGGTCCTGAAACCTCTGGAATAGTGCTCATGAGACAGATTTGTACCAAGGCGAGAGCTAAGAGTGGAACAGCATAGACATTGTGTTACATGTGTGCTGGCCCTGAATGAGGTTACTAGCAAAGAGGTAACCACTTCTGCTGGGGTAAGTTAGAAGTAAACCTGTGTGAAT